AACGCTAACTATGACAACCTTAACCCCTACCCTGCCCTAACCATAACCATAAGTAACCAAACAAAATACAAGAGTTTTTGCATTTTTAGTTTTTTTATAGCAGTCACCGATTTTTATAGAGTTTTCCCTTATGGGAACCAGGAAACCGGTCCCCATAAGGGAAAAAAAACGGATATTTATCACTTTATGGGGACATTATGTCCCCATAAGGATAGGTAAACCCGCTCACACACACACACACTGACTAGTACTCACTAGTGCCACCCCTGTCCAGTCCCTGCACACGTCGCTGTGGTGCAGGCGATTCTCCAGGAGCCGGATATACTCCTGAAGGTGCTGGTTCTTTTTCAGCTCCTGCAGCAGCGTCCGCTCACAGTACTCCCTCTTGCTCTGCACGGGTCATAAAAAACACCCAGTGGGCAAGTCAGCAGCCTATCTGCAGTACACCCCAACCCCCCCCCACCGCAGCTCCATTGCCCCATTAGCAAACCTCGCCCATCATAAGATGCCCCCTGGAACGTACCTGCTCATGCTCCACTTTCAGCAGCAGTCTGCTGTTGAGGTGCTTGATTGCCACGCATTCCTGCTCCAGGTCGCTGATGCGTTGCTGCAGCGCCATGGTGGTGCCTCGGTACATGTGGTCCCAGTCCTCATTCAGCTTCATCAGCTACAAGATGTGAAGCAGCGGGACAATCAGACTGGGCCGCCACCCCCAACCCTCATAATGCAATGGGCTAGTGACCGTGACCCTTCACCTCCTTGTTGATTCTCCGCAGCTCCGTGTTCCTGTTCAGTAGCAGCAGCTTCTCTTCGTCCGCCGAGGTCACCGACATGCTCTCGGTGATCATCGTCACCTGGTCCTCCCCCCCAGACAGTGCATTTTCTGCCTCTCTGCAGCACACAGACAAGGCAAGCTGACAGCAACCCCACCGACACACACTTAAACGCTTTAGGCTCGGAAACTTTCGCGTAGGGGTGGCCTGCGTTGGGTGGCATTCTCATCACAAGTGAATCGATGATGTCAGGAGACTCCAGCTGACCCTGAATGGCCTATTGGGGTAAAGCTGTGGGTTTACCTTTCTTGTTTGTAATGATGTATCATAGCAATGCAGAATTTCCCACCAAAGGCACATACCACCCCCACTTTTGATGAAGTCATAACAACTTTCCCTCCCATTCCCAGTTCCATCTCGCACTTCTTCTTTTTTCACCTGTTGTGTTCAAAGCCAGTGAGCACCCAGTGTTACAGTTGCTGAGTGTATAGCATGCCGCAGCTGCTGGCTTGGAACCAGTCCCCACTGGTTCAATAGACTGTCTAACATTTAACCCACGACACCCACTTGCAACACAATTATGACGCCTGTAGTGACAGGCCAGTAAAACATGCCTGTTCCTCTTTGAGTTTCCTTTATTGCCTCATGGAAACCAGACACATTTAGGCCTACATACAGTGTCACGTCTAGGGATGTGGGATTGCCCTACGCTTTGTGGTTTCAGGTTGAAGGTTGTTGATGTCCCCACAAGGGTCCTTAATTGTGTCCATGACAGATATTTAATACATTTTCCAAGGAAAAAAATCCAAGCTTCAATTCAAGTAAAATTGTTTGCAGATTAAATTCAGTCTTAAATTCAGATAAAATCTAACTCTAATCAACAGAATAATACAGAATTATAAGAAGCAGGATTAAATTTGCCTGGAACAATTTATATTGACTGGATAATTAGCAAACTGTTCTAATTTAGGCAATTGTTCGCTTTAAAAAGCAGTGGTTGCTTCACCTAGAAATTAAGACAGGAATAAATATGGCTCATGAAACAACGACAAAAAACGTTGTGCATTCCCTTCAGAATAATTGTCCTTTTCATAACTTATGACCAGTAAAAATTTAAAGAATTATTTCCAGAAAAATTGCAATCACTGGTAAAAATACACTGTGAGCAGCCCATGCGCTTATTTCCTGTTTGCGCCTGTTATAGTGAATTCCAGCACAAATCTGACTTTTTAAACTTTATATGTATTAATAATTTATTTATATTTCTTTGTAAGTTTTATGTGAAGGGACAAATGGATGACAGCCTAGTGGAGAATGCTAATGTAAGAGTATGTATATGTATGTGTGTATGTGTATGTGTCTGTGTGTGTGTGTGTCTGTGTGCGTCTGTGTCTTATCGCCTGTTTGGCTGAATAGTCCTCCCACCTGGGTTTGAACAGCTGACCTAAAGCTTACCCCAAAAACCTACATATGCACTGGCCCTTTGCGGATAAGATTGGCCACCTCTGCGATAAACCTATCATAAAGCAAAAATGCATTTTAATACAGTACACCTAACCCAGCACACATCATAGAAAAACATGCTTAGAACACTTACCTTAGCCTACAGTTGGACAAAGTCAATAACATAAAGCCTATTTAATAATAAAGTGTTCAATATCTCATGTAATTTATTGAATAACATACTGAAAGTGAAAAACATTTATCCTTTGTAAAGTCAAAATATTCTAACACGGACCATCGTAACCTGAAGAGCGTCTGTACATATATGCATATATATATAATATTTGATCGTAGCGCCAAAAATCCACAATAGATTTATGTGTAGTTTGCTTTCCTGTAAATTCAGGTAGCTACCAACACAAATGGGTCAGGATGACTTCAGAATACTGAATCGAAAAGGTGAAAAATATTTCAGGAAAACAAGAACCAGCATAATCTGCTTCTTATTTTCAGTGACCCAGTTCACGAGTGCAGACTGAGGGCACGAGTCAGCCTGGCAGCCACACGGACTCGGGATGGGGGCACTGGGTATCCCTCTTCCCCCTGGCACTTTGAACAGCCTCTGTGGTGCCAGGAAGAACAGAATGTGGGAACATTCTAGCTTTGCGTCTTGTGTAGGGAAATCTTAGCCAGACAAAGTCTTCTCAGTGCTGGCCCAGTATTACTGTAACTGCCTGGTTGCAGTTCTTGGGCATCCCGTTGCTAGCTATGAGTAACGAGGGATTCCTGAAAAACGCAACCGGCCAGATTAGCAACTGTCTTACAGTAATCCTACCCACAGTGGGTTTCTAGGCCTCATTTCGTTCATCGCAATCCCTTGACGTACCACGGAACGAAGTGGAAATGCAGTCAATACTGGGAAAAGCCCTACTGTTTTATGGTATGGATTTCATTGTTCCATTCATTGGATATTCCTGCTGGAGTGTAGCCATCTTCAAACCAAAAAGCAAGCTATGAGCTTAAGTGTACAAGTCGACTTTCATGAGCCATGTGGAATTTCTACATTGTACCTCATCTGACACTCCAACTGTTCCTTGCATGCCAAATAAACAGAAAAAGGCTGATGAATTCTATTGACGGCCTCGGTGTATAGTCCTTAACCACTATATTTGTATTAATGAGTGAGTTGAAGGTTATCAACTTTCACCTCCCAGATCTGTGCTGTTTCTTGCAAAACTCATACAATAACCCAAGTTCTACTGGCAAAAATGGCATTCCATTGGTATTTACGATCAAATACGTTCAACCCATGGCAGGTGTTTCATAAAGCACGGGGGATATTTTAATATTTACTATAGAATGCTTAAAAGTCTAGACTTTCTGGAAAGCTTGTAAGCAGTTTATTTTCTATAACTCGCTCAGTATCAGAAGTATAAATCCTTAGTTTTTGAGTTTTTGGAGATATTAATGAGCCTCAATGGCAAACGGCAAGAGCGGCCGAATCGCAAAGAGTGTGGGAGGAAATGTAACCGGCCACATTTTATAAATTAATAACCCAAAACCAATTTCCAAAAACATTTCTGGTAGCCGACATCCTCAGATACCCCGACACGACGGTGTTTCGCAACGTCACCCTGCATCTGTTAAGGGAGATCCCTGGTTTTAAATGTCAGGCTGTGGTAGCTCGGACGGCACATACTGTTCGTTCCTTAACTGCGACAGCCAGTGTGAGTCAAAGCTCAAACCACATATCTAGTATTACCGTGGCAACAATGAATAAACACGACATCACAGCCGTTTTGTCTCGACGTCTTTAGATTCGATTTTTCCTTCACAAGAGCACACTGTCTTCAGGGTTTGAGAACATGTCTACCCTGTTTGAAGATTTAGAGATATTATTTATTGTGGTCTGCAAGAGTGGCGGTTTCATTTTCACATAGCGCTGGCATCACAAAACCCAATAAAAATCATAGGTGGCCAGAATTTGAGCGTCCCAATTTTACGGTCCCCCAACTTTAGAGATGAGGGCGAGAGACGCCTTCCAGTCCATGCTCAAATTTATACCCACCAAACATTCTCAAATGATTACGAGATCTCCTATACTGTATAAATAGCTTACGAATATTCTATAGTGAACGTAATTCAGTGCAAACGTAAGTCTGTATCTAATTTGATCCTCTCTCTGTCAAATCACTGAAAGATACCAGGCAGCTATAAACCAAAGTAACATAAAAAACACACACAATGGTCACAAAAAACCTAGATGTAATAGATTATTATATATTATATAATATTATTTACATTCAGTGTAATTAGTAAACAGTAATAGCTTGTTTCCTCTAAAGATTTCAGAGATCTTTCTGCTAATAGTAATAATTATGTTTCTACTTACTCTGTGTTTCTTGGGGGTTTAACATGAACTGGCGAGATTGGACCCTGTGTCTGAAAGTTCTTCTGTGGAGGTGAATCAGATTCTGACAAAGACTGCGAAGACAAAGAACTTCCGTCCATGTGAGACTCAAACTGAATTCCAAGCCAAGTAAGCGAGCAAATTGTTTTAAAATATTATATTAGGAAGAGGAACTTCTGGTAGTACTTTAGCCTTAGCCTCATCGGGGGGAAGAGTAGGAGACCTTCTCAGTCCTCTCTTTATGTTATGGGCTCTGCTTTCAAAGAGGAAGTATTAAAAAAAAAAAGCAAAACAAAGCTATGCAAACTGTCACGCTTTCTCTCTCTCTAGCTCTCTCTCTGAAGGACACATGCAAACACACTCTCACATACACAACAGCACACACCACCGCTGCAAGGCTCTTCTTGTGTTAAATAGCATTTTTTTTATGTGATTAACATTATCGGCAGGATAGAGATGGACCAGAGTTGGAGACAACTGACTAAGGATCTGACAGCAGTGACGGCTTTTCAGAAATGTGGAAGGTAAATCATGAATCTAGCCTCATAAATTACAGCAGCCATTGTTAAGCTTGGCAGCAATATCGCATAGCCTTAAGCCAGTAAGTCACCTCTGTTCTTTTTCACTTAGTTTATTTCAGATGCTTAATTAGGACTCGGTAGCACGGCGTCGAGGGCAAAACCACAGAGGGGGAATTCCAACATCGCAGCAACTCTGAGCTTGCTAAATTTGCACTACGTGTGATTTACCCAATAGCATTTGCAGAACAACAGAAAGCAGAAGATTGCACACTCGCAAAGGCCCTGTTTGGGCCCTAAGGCTCTATAAGAGGACGGTACCATATGGGTGAGCTAGGAACAGCAGATAAGCACGCAGACACTTCCCAGGAGCATTCTAGAACTTCCCAGTGGCCCTCTATCTCATAAAATAATAGAGAAAAGGCTATGTGTGCATTCCGGCACCCTTGCGTTGTGGTGAGTAAGTGGACATGCCTCAGTCATTCATCACAGCAAAGTGCCAGTCAGGATATTGCTGCACCTAGCAGGGCTTCACTGAGGAGTACAAGAGCAACGGCTTTATTGACTGTGCCTGTTGTCGAAGGCAAGGACAAATGAGATGGTGCTACACTGTCGCATTGATTTTTCCATTGCTTGCAGTAGGGGGGATGGTGGACGATTTTGGCGGACTGCTTTGCGAGGGCCGATTTGATATCGTTAGCGCAGCAGCGTCTCACGCTAACAACATAGGCTACAAGGTAAAACTTTGAGGCCAAGTCTGGGTTACTCTGTGGCGTTCAAGATGAATGCAGTGAAAATCGGCACCTTGATATTAACAGAAGCTTTCACCGAAAGCAACGTTATAGTTTCGGAAATTTACCATCGCTGACTGCCGTTTGTCAGGATGAACCTCTTCCGGGGGGGGGCAACAATAGCCTCCCTACTGGGACATGAACTTGCAACTACAGTATATGGCAACAAATTGGGTTCTTTCACCACTCCATTACCAAAACCTTTGCAAGCCTGAATAAATAACCTCAACTAATGATGCACAGATAAGGAAATTTCTGGCTGATACCGGCCATTTTTTTCATAAACCGACACTGATACCAAGTGTTTAGGAGGTTCTGCTTAAATACAGCTCCAGAAAAAAAATTCACTAATTTCTCAGTTTATGAGTGTACATCTCTGAATAATACATGTACATTTTTTTGTAAACTGCAGCCTGGTTCTTCTCTGCTCCTCATTGATGAAGGACTTCTTCCTTGCTTTGTGGGACTTCAGTCCTAGCAGTGCACTTCATACCTGCACTTAATGTTTCCCATTCCTTTTGAGTCATTTGATGTCAGCCTCTGATTCATAAGATACTGTCAGATAAGTTAACGGTCATCTCTGGCATTAGAAAGTCGCTTCTGCCCTCTGCCTGGCTGGTTTCTAGTCATTCTCAGTGTCTCCTGCTTCACCTTGTACTGCTGTCTTGGAAATTTAAAATCTGGAAGCATCCTGCTGCTCAGCGTAGCCTTCTGTCAGCAGAACCACGAATAAACCAGGATTTAAAAATGCAGGTATTTAAAAAAATAGAGTGGTCTCTTAATCTTTTCCAGATCTTTATTTTAAAATTTAATGGGTCACTCCACCCAAATAAAATTAAAAATTAATTTTTTAAATTAATTACATTCCAAAAAAACAAAAAAAGTATTTATTTTTTGCTCAGAAAACACCAACTCTGGCAAACAACAACAGTCACAGAGCACTGTATTTTATAACTGTATATCGTCAAGTGTGATAAACACTGTAATTTTCTGAGTAATACCTTTTGATTTTGGACAGTTTGCAATGAATTTTCTTTTGCTATCAAACACGTCACTGACAGGCTGCGTTATTTGGCGGTACTGCAGCCTTTTTTATTGGAACAGATTTGTCTTTCAGAAACTCTCCGTACTTCTCGCTGTCTCGCCTTGCGGTGAGCAGTCAAATTTGTTGTGTTGAAATGCTGATTAGTGGATCCTCCTCATGAATTTTTCGCAGAGCGAAGTTTGCAAAATGCATTGCTAACAATGTTTTCCCCAGCATTAAAATAATTTCACCCAACAGACATTTGTCTGTTTAGTACGCGGATCTGCAAAACAGTATGGGTCACCATTATAAAGAGAATTATTGGCAATAAATATCAGGTCATTTTTAACCATTGGCCGATGACCAATTGTTGCTGTATCAGCTGATAGCGCATGTCTAACCTCAATTATACAAACATAATTGTCATGCCCCAAACACAGAGAACTCAGATTCAAACCTCTTAGGTCTAAGGTTAAGCTGGGGCACCCCAGCTGAACAGTATACATATTTTCAATAAATCAGTTATCAGGTCATCGTTTGCAACTGTCACATTGCTGGAATGTTCTATGCCAAAAAAAGAAACATAGTGGTTTTCATGTTATTTTTATACTGATTTCTAACAATGGCCATTGTCAGGAAACTAGAGTTAAGAGCAGAATAAGAATCATTGTCAAATTTGAAGTACTCACTCAGCGGATTCAGTAAAAGTTTGGACTTTATTTATTTTTTTATCTGGCTAGCTGGCAGCAATTTTAAATCAAATTCTTTTATAATTAATGCAAGCTATAGTGGATGTCCATCCATCTTCCATAACTGCAGTGGGTAGCGGTGGGCCTGGAGCTTATCCCAGGAGGCATGGCGCTCACACTCACTCACTCTGGGAAAATTCAGCAACTACATTCCACCTCAAATATGCAGACTCCAGAAGAACAAGCACATACCACCAGCACAGTCATTAAGTACTCAAACCCACAGCCCTGGAAAAGTGAGGCCAAAATGCTGTCCGACGAGCAAAATTATCCATCCATATACCTTCCAAACACTCATCCAGGTCTGGATTGTGGGGAATACAATCTGTTTTATACAATTATTTATGTTAACTCCAAATGTTAATGGTTGCTTCCACCAAAATACAGATCACTTTTGGAATAATTATTAGTGTCATGCTCTGCCTGCCTGCCCATCTCGTTCTCTGCATAGTGTGGATCTAATGAACCACACCTGTCGCTTATTTTGTCTTACCTTTCATTTCAGCCCTCGTGTGGATCACTCCAGCTGCCTCTCATCTGCTCCCTCGTCAGTGGTGTTATAAAGTGCCTCCCAGTCATGTGCTCCCCAGTCTAGTCATTGATGTTATGGCTGTATGTGCGCCGTAGTTTCTTAATCTTATCTGAGTCTCTCATCTCCCTGTTTTGACCCCTCATGGTCTTTTATGTTTGCCCTGTTAGTTTTGTTTTTGCTTTAAAGCCCCTTTTCATTCCTCCCTACACTCGTCCTTTCCTCCTTCCATGCCCTGACGCAACAATTAGCTTGATCTTCCCAAAAATAAAAGTTTTCCATATCTCAACAACCTACACTCACTAATAAACATGACATGGCATTATTGTAATGAATAATGGTGACGCTATTCAGCTTAGGTGTGCCTAAATAGAGTGGTTGATGTTCTCTACGTGGAAGGAGTCTGAAAGTTTACATATGAGTATGAATGGTGTTTGTTGACAGTCTTTCTATGTCCAGAAATATAAACATATGCAATTTTTGAGTTAGATGAGAATAGTACTTCCACCCAAGTTGTATCCATGCTTGCAAAATAGGTTTTTTTTCTTAATAAAATATATCCACTTACACATTTTCACCAACAGATTGTATAACAGTCAAGATTGTTTTGCATGAAGCTGCTTCTTCATGCCTGTTATTAGGCAGACTATTTATTACATGCTAATAAAAAATCACTAATTTCACTAATCACTAATCCTAAATCACTTTGGGAGTACAGTGCTCTCCTACCATGCTCAGTATTGATATCAGAGATGAGAATGACAGTGAAAGATTAGTCGCGGTTTGAGTTCCATATTGTAAGTTAGGTCTCTGGGAAGAAAAATGCTCAAGTCTGGTTATAAATTTATTGATTTATTAAAAACCCGAATTCAAAGCCAAACGCGACAGCTTTATGGAGTATCTAGGACAGTCATTGTTTTAACAGCCCAGTGCCCCCATGGACACTGGCTGACTACTGGGCTGGTCAAAATGCTGCTTTTCCTCTTTGCTTGAATAAACTTTCATAAAAGGTCCTTTATGTTCTTATGGATAGTATACACTCACCTAAAGGATTATTAGGAACACGATACTAATACGGTGTTTGACCCCCTTTCGCCTTCAGAACTGCCTTAATTCTACGTGCCATTGATTCAACAAGGTGCTGAAAGCATTCTTTAGAAATGTTGGCCCATATTGATAGGATAGCATCTTGCAGTTGATGGAGATTTGTGGGATGCACATCCAGGGCACGAAGCTCCCGTTCCACCACATCCCAAAGATGCTCTATTGGGTTGAGACCTGGTGACTGTGGGGGCCATTTTAGTACAGTGAACTCATTGTCATGGTCAAGAAACCAATTTGAAATGATTCGAGCTTTGTGACATGGTGCATTATCCTGCTGGAAGTAGCCATCAGAGGATGGGTACATGGTGGTCATAAAGGGATGGACATGGTCAGAAACAATGCTCAGGTAGGCCGTGGCATTTAAACGATGCCCAATTGGCACTAAGGGGCCTAAAATGTGCCAAGAAAACATCCCCCACACCATTACACCACCACCACCAGCCTGCACAGTGGTAACAAGGCATGATGGATCCATGTTCTCATTCTGTTTACGCCAAATTCTGACTCTACCATTTGAATGTCTCAACAGAAATCGAGACTCATCAGACCAGGCAACATTTTTCCAGTCTTCAACTGTCCAATTTTGGTGAGCTCTGGCAAATTGTAGCCTCTTTTTCCTATTTGTAGTGGAGATGAGTGGTACCCGGTGGGGTCTTCTGCTGTTGTAGCCCATCCGCCTCAAGGTTGTGCGTGTTGTGGCTTCACAAATGCTTTGCTGCATACCTCGGTTGTAACGAGTGGTTATTTCAGTCAAAGTTGCTCTTCTATCAGCTTGAATCAGTCGGCCCATTCTCCTCTGACCTCTAGCATCAACAAGGCATTTTCGCCCACAGGACTGCCGCATACTGTATGTTTTTCCCTTTGCACACCATTCTTTGTAAACCCTAGAAATGGTTGTGCGTGAAAATCCCAGTAACTGAGCAGATTGTGAAATACTCAGACCGGCCCGTCTGGCACCAACAACCATGCCACGCTCAAAATTGCTTAAATCACCTTTCTTTCCCATTCTGACATTCAGTTTGGAGTTCAGGAGATTGTCTTGACCAGGACCACACCCCTAAATGCATTGAAGCAACTGCCATGTGATTGGTTGATTAGATAATTGCATTAATGAGAAATTGAACAGGTGTTCCTAATAATCCTTTAGGTGAGTGTATATCAGAGATGCCTTTAGTTTTATCTTTTGCAGGAGTAATGAACATGTGCAATAAACCTTTTATATCACTAAAACTGAAGGAACACTTTTGAAAAGTGTCAGAATTTGCAAGATGTTAAAAATATTTTCTATTTACAGCAATATAAGCTAATACAATACAGGATGGTTCTTTTTCTGATTTTTTTTCTAGTGACTTGTGCTTTCAGTACAGCTACAGGTAACTATTCATCTCTGGTCTTGAAGCCTGTGAAGAACAATTCACACCAAGATCAGACATGAGAAATTACATCTGGCACAAAAGATACTATGACATTTCAACATGCAGATACACACAGAGATTCAGAGATTCACGCTAACATACACCCTTAGGGTGATTGCTCAAGGTGTGGAGCCCAAGGGTACCTGAGGAGGTTTTCCAGGTGTTTGTGGCATGTTTGGAGAAGAAGAGGCCTTAAGATAACAAACCAGAGATCCAAGTGATTGCCATCCTGCAGAGAGATGGGGGACACACTCAATGAGATTGGAGCAAGTGCCATTATAGGGTGGACTAACTTCTCTGTATCCCTAAACTGACATGGCGGGCCACTTGAACTATTTTTTTGGAACCAAAGGAGAAACAAGAGAAAATTAAAAATGACGCAGTATCAATAATCCACTAATCAGTGCCAGTGGCAGAACATACTGATCGTTGTGCTGTCAGTAAAATTGGCGAAACGGATCACACTAGTGATCGGTCACCCAAATTTAATCTATTAACCTGTTCAATTTTTCCTGGGGGGGGGGGGGGCTGTTTTGCTGGAGAGCCTTAGGCTGTAGCCTACGATAGCCTATGCATTAATTTGCTCCTGGGTGGGACCTCAGCATAGCATTTAACGTAGCGGTAAGTGGCTGGTGAGCCCATCTAGCACTGCCATAGCGGAGCACTTAAGGGAATCAGCATGTAGGGCAAAGAAATGACAGCCATTAGTTGGGCAGAGAAACCTGGCTGCACCTGAAGCCATTCGACACCAGAATGTGGCCAAATTGAATTACCATTTAAATGGAAATTCAGGTTCTGAGAGGAACAAAAAAAAATTTTAAAGTAGGGATATTAAAGATCATCTGAGTGGAACATGCAGAATTTATTAAATGTTATGCCGCATCATTTCAACTTTTTATGGACTTTCTAATTATTTACTCTTGTTCTCTTTGGCATCTTAATGTTCAGCAATAAAAATAAAAAACAGATTTGATATAAAAAAGTTATGCTTCTGTCTATAAGATTAATTGTGGTATTTATTCCATACCCATAGCACTGCAGAACATAAAAAGCAGCACAACTGACCTTGCATCTTCCAGAGACCAGGCCACCGACAGCAGGAAAAGCCTATAGCAGATAGTAGCCTAGCTTTCTTCCTTAGAGAGATTGGACGACATTCTTGCTGTAAGAATACCCTACAGCGAGGTACAACAGCTCCAGGGCCGTGGGCACAAGTCAGAACTCCTTTGTTTTTGTGCTGTCCTGACCTAGTAGGAGGTGTTACAGAAAGCAGGGGACTGTGTGTATTCTACCAGGTCTGTGCAAGTTTGCCGGATGAAGCATGCATGTAAGTAATAGCCTGACAATGAGAATCAGGTTTGGTAATCCGGAACTACAACTCCTTCTGTCAGACCCAAACGATGGTAATAGTATGTGATTATTTGTGCAACGCTTGTAATTTCTTTTCCCCTCCCTGCTCCCATTAACCCCGAAACAGGCAAACCCCAGAGAAATCTCCGGCAAACACCCTGATCACCAAGCAATCCCGGGCCTTGCCACATGCCGAGACGCTGAGGAAAGGGAACGCGGAAGGAGAGCACGGGACGTCGAGCATGTGGCACAAAGTCATTTTCACAGCAGAGACGGCTTTGGAACAAAGCCGGCCATATTTACGTTTCCTTGTCATGGCTTGACACGTCGGAGTCTCACACAAGACCAATATGTCAAGTAATTCTACAAAGTCCCTATAAAAGTGGCACAAAGCTGACATGTCACAGATGGCTACAGACAAGAAAAAATGACGTCAGCCGTGGAAAAATATAAGGCGACGCACTTCTAGCGTGCTGCGTTGGGAGACCGCCGGATTTCAGCAAGCGCGTAGGTTTGGTTTCAACATTGGTAGGGACCACATCAGCCCCAACCCCCCCTTGCACCCAAAACACACATGATATTCCCACAACATTGAGACATGTCCCTACCGTCCACACCCTTGGATTTCAGGGAATTATTCGGGTTATTTGGAGTGCACTTAAAGAAACTTGGATTTACATGATTTCAATAGAACCGGTATATATTGTTTGGCTGGTTGTATAATGCTTGTCTTGAGGCTCCCTTGGAACGTTTTATCCGGAAAGCCCAATTACTTGAAAAATAGTGAAAGTAGCGGTTTTTGAGGCAGGTGCTTTACTCTGTTATGAAGCCAGGTGCTCCAGATAGCTCAGACGAAGTTATGTAAAGGAAACACAGACAGACAGAGATATAGTGGCGGGTTGTCTCAATTATTGGCTCGCAAGTTGAGTGCCATCCAATCATCGCTTTACAGAAGTTACTTTGAAGTTAAGTTGGTGAAGGGGAAAAACTGAAATCTGTTCTATTAGAAATGAAGCATTAATACTGACTCACACTCACAGTTATATAATTCCAGCAGTCGGATCGACAGTGACTGACACATCTTAAATAATGTGTACAACCCCCTTGATTTATAGCTCCATTTGATATAGTTTCTGTGGGCCGTGAGCCAATATTCGACTGTATGTGGTGATTTAATGTGAGAGGCTTGATGCTTATGACAGTCATGACTATTGCTTTTGTTGTAATCAATATTATTGTAAATTACGTGCAGGTAAGTAAGCTTTGTGTTCCTGCACTGCGATGCAGTTACTGTATCAGCAGCCTATTTTAGGAGTGATTTCTGTCACGTTTGCTTTCACACCCAGGTGGAAACTGCAAGCATTCTCGTCACGGTGCATTTTCAACCGTTATTTAAAATAAAAATCATCATCTTGTCAAATTGGTTGTTGTACACCGATGGTGAGAAAGTGTGGGGAATATCCCAAAAAGGTGCGTGGTGACCTTCTAACATTCGGAGAATAATGGACTTATAAGGAGGTATTTAAAAGTAAAATTGCCCTTCATCTGTGTTATTCACAAAAACACAGAAAAGGAGCAGAATATAGATGTCACTCGTTCTCACTTTGTCTTGAAATGGACCTGTAGTGTTTTGCCGCTAATTTGTAATTCTAAAGTTGTCTGTCCCAGAAGTAGACTATCTGGGGTTGATCTCACTGACACTGCCACCAGAGAGATGATTTCTTTTTGATTGTTATCAAAATCTCTTTGCAGGATGGTTGCAATTGGGGG